TATCAATTTGTAAAAAATATTATACTAATAGGCCAATTTTTTTTTTTTGTTTCTGGGCCCCAAAAAATCAGGCACGGTTCTGCCTCCACTTGTATTCATCTTCTAATTTTGTTTTGGTAAAAAAAAAATGTTATTCAATTCTTTACCAAAAATCGAAGCATTGTAAATAGTCCATCCCACCATGATTTGAACCTAAATAACAGAAGTTACAGCTGCAACCCTTTTACCACTATACCATTTCGACATTGGTTATTCATCTTCTAATTGTTTTGATGCAGCTTATTGCTTCAAGATCTACCATAAAATCTACTTGTTTTTTTTTTAATTCAGCTAATTGATTCAGGTGTTTTTTTTTAATTCAGCTAGTAATATATATATATATATATATATATGCACGATTTACGAGCATTGTTAACATAGGAAAGAGATGCATGGTTCATAAACATGAAGAATACCACTTCTCTCAGTCTCTCTCCTTATAAAACAATAACTTAATTAAAATGACTAAAAAGAAATTAGAAGATAAAATGATGATTAACTATATGTAAATATTTCCAATTTGTTTTGACGATCATTGGTGGTATATTTGGTTGATACTATATATGTTAAGCTTGCATCATTAACACTTGACATGTCCAGCCATAGCACCTATTCCACAAGCTTGGAAAAGTTTGGCAAGCAGTAAATATTTTTCATTATCTTTCTGTAACATACATTGACATGATCTTGACGGCGTTGATTGCTTCCCTGTATGCTGTTCACAACATTTGGTTTTAAAGTGGTTATTTTTTGGAACTTCGCGCAGGCAGAAATCAAGACTTTCAAAGCAAGCTTTTCTGCGATCACTCTTGATCGTAGCTGGGAGTGATGTCAAGATTATGATGAAGGCGATGCACATCAAGGAAATTAACTTCATTTTTTGGGATTAATTAGTAGTTCAAGATAATTTGCCTCGAATAAAATATTTATTGGGAAGTTTGGAACAATTTAGTTTTAGAAAATATGGTGTATCTTATGAGGTCTTTAAATAGCAAGCTAGAATGAGAAACATGTGGATATATTGAAGGATACGTACACTTATTTCTATTTTGATCTACAAAGTAATTTTCGAAACAAACATATATGACTTGTTCAAATGACCTATTCAATAAGAAGTGAATATAAAAAAAAATAATAATAAGAAGTGAATATAAATAGAGTTAGTAGGTGTATTTAGTGTCCCATGCAAATATGCATGCATGCATCGACGATTAAATACACATATTCATCAAGAGCCAATCAGTTCGTATTGAATCAGTCATTTGAACAAGTCATACTTTTATTTCGAGGATTAATGCTTCGTAAATAAAAAAATAGAAATTAGTGTACGTTCCCTCCCTTATCTATAGGACTCGGTTTCCACCTTCAACATTACGTTTATTGCTCATGCCAATTTGCTATTTAAGGACCTCAAAACATACATCATTTTTCGAAAGCTGAATTGTTCAAATTTTTATATTTTATTCGAGACTAATCCAAAGTATGAAGTTAATTCCATTGATGTTCATCGCCATTGTCATACTCTTGACATTATTCCCGGCTACGATCAAGAGTGATTGCTCTAAAGGTGTTACGTCCTGCGTGAAACAAGTTCCTAAAAATGACCAGTGGAAGACCAAATGTTGTAAAGATTGGAGCGGGCCTGTAACACCAAAATCAGAAGCATGTGCATGCCAATTAAATAAACACTTTGCTAACCGTTCGATTCTTAACCAACTTTTATTAGCTTGTGGATTAGGTGTTGCCGATGGACGATTCAAGTGTAAACAATGAGAGCATAAAACAGTCCACCAACCAAACGACCAAGGATAGTCAAACCAAACATGAGATAATTAGATATAGTAATTAATCAGGTATTTCCTAATTTCTTTTACATCAGTATAAATAAGTTATCGTTCAATAAGGAGAGATAATTAGTGTAGTTTATGTTTATGCTCGTGTGAATTGATTCCATGTTCTTATTATTTCTATGTATTTTCTTATATTATGAAGTAAACTAAACGGAAAAAGTTATACTCTACTCTAAATAACTACCATTAATTAAAAAAAAAAATATTTGTTCTTAATCTTGGTGCTCCTGACTCTTAACACCAACTCTATTCGAAATAATAATATAATAGGACAGGTTAGCAAATGAATTCCTCAAAAGAAAATTCAAGTATCTCGCACGAGATACCTTTTTCAACTGGCATTATATTATCAAGAAGAGTGCAGTACAGATGAAAGCCATTTCAGCGGAAATATAAATGTACAAGATTTGATAAATGCTTTGAGTTGCGTTATTTTTGCTAAAGAATGGGTCTGAAATATTCCACTGCAGTATATATTATGTTTTTATATTACTTGATTTTTTTAGTTCTGAAAATAATATCTTTCTATTACAAATGTTAAAAATTAAGATATAAAACAATAAGCAAATGAAGAATTTTTATTCACCTAAATTTGTAATAAGAATTTTCCCAAAACGAACGTTTCTATATGTAGCCTCTTCTTCTCACATCCAGTGGCAAATGTAGAATTATCTCTGTGGAGGGCAAACCACACGTAAACGTAAAAATATGGCTAGAATATGATATTTATTAAACAAAAAAATAAAAAAATAAAATTAGAGAATATAATTAAAAGTTGGTGGCACCTGCCATCTTCTAGGCTCTCACGTACATCAGAGCCACTGCTCACATCCTTCCTGATCCAATCTTAAAATGGAAGTATACCCTCCTTCATTCATCGCTACTACATTCATATTCATGGACTAAGGTTAGACAATGTGTATTAATATGACTGAGAACTCTTTTAGTCATCTTCAAAGTTTGTGGATGATTATACATCTTTTTTAATCAGGTGGCTGAGTATAATCTATTTGGATCAGCCTGTTTCTTGCTAGCTTCTGTTTAGATCTTTGCTTGCGTTGCAAACATGTATAGCTCATCTTTCTTCCTTACAAGCGTCAAATCGTTACTTTTCCGGGGGAAACGGTGGTCATACGACATGTTAGTACCTTTCCTTGCAACTCAAGCATGTATACAATATCTCAACTATTCCATTGTTGATGACTGGAGTCTGGAGAGTGGAGACCGTGAATGATTCACAATCATGTTACTGGGAATAATATTTACACCAATTATTATTCTTTTGTTCACACGTATGAGTTCATCAAAAATGATTTATATATATGAAAAGCATTTTACGTAAGTACTATCACTGCTTAATAGTAATTTGGTTTTATAGAGGCGGGCACACCGCACACACTACTGTATAAACCAGTGGAATGAATCATGTTCAATAGATGGATAAGTGATTGACCTCTATAACAATTAATTATATTCCAAAATTACTGTAAACCATCTCCAATCCATTTCTATTTTCATTTCTATATTTTTTAAATAGAAAAATTCTATTATATAAATATATTTGCTCCAATGTACGTATAATTCTATGATAGAGTTTTTCTATTTATAAAAAATATATATAGATTTGTTATTTTCACTCTTAAATATAGAGATAAAAGTAACTTTTTTATTTATTTTTTTAAATAGAAAAACACTATTATAAGTGATATATTGTAATAAATTCATCTCTATTATATAAATTACTATTTTAAAAAAATATATAGAAATATACATTGGTGATTCTCTTAGATAAACATAATGATGAGTTTGGATCGGCCCCAACTTCTATTCAACCTTTGCAAAATCTTTGTATTATGATTTAAAAAAAAAAAATCTTTGTGACTCATGATCCCAAACAAAGGGACAAGTTATATGACAACTGAAAGTTAAACAACAATTTATGCAAAACGAATTTCGAAAGACCTGCCGACGATTACGGTACTAAAAATGCATATAAAAAGCGGGATTAGGTACAAGACTATACACCTAATGATCAAGTCATAATCCCTTAATAATAGTTGACTACCATCGAAGAAATATACACAAGATATGTTAAATATTTTTTATCTATAAAGATATTATAAATAAGTTTGGGGAATATATGATATAAAATATTTCTAGAAGGATGTTATAAATAATTTTGGGAACCTAATTTAAAAGAATTTTTTTTTATATAAATTTATAGAAAAGGAATCCTAAAATAATTACATACCAATCTAAACATCAAGGCCTACCGAAAAACATTTTTTATTATTGAAAGCAAGTAAAATGGTTAACCATAATTTAAATTTCACATCGGAATAGTAACCATTCTGTAAAAAAAATTAGTAAAAAAAAGTTTCAGTAGTTTACCATTTCTACTTTAATAGTAGTACAAAAGTTAGCTAAGCTTAATCAAATATATTAAAAAGGAAACAAAAATCGTAGGTGAAAACGAAGCGACTTTAATTAAAACTACTAAAATGTTATGATTGCATTTTAAAATAATAAATACTTGAGCATAGAAAACTTAAATGTCAAACTCACGGGATTTTTCATGTTGTCAATAAATAGAATAAAACTCTTAAATTCGTTAACCTTTAATAGAATTCAATTTTAGCTCACGGAATAAATACATAAATAAAGAATGTTTTGAGTTATAAATTTTCTTTGAGTATGCGCGTTATCATTTTCAAATCGGATTTGCCGACACTCCACCAAATAAAATTAAATAAAAGAAAAAAAGAAACCGTCAAAACACTCATTTGACAACAAATAGTATTTTAAAAACATAAAGGTATATAATAGGAAGAGAGAATAAAAATAAAAATCTGAAAAAAGTAAATAATGGTAGACTACTACTACTATACGATAGATGTCCAATGAGATTAGAGAGTCTTGAGAGAGAGAGAGAGAGAGTGAAAGGTTAATAAAGCGATTTCAACCTCTCTCCGTCGTCGCCGTCCTTGGACCGTACTTACCGCAACTTCTCATCTTCTTCTTCTTCTGTGAAAGCTGAGACCTTTTCTCTTACAACTCGTCGTCCTCAAGCTGAGATTGTGTGTTCTTGGGGTGGGTTTGTTGTAAGATTTCATGCAAATGGAGGGTAATAATGACTTTGAAGAAAAAGAAGAAGAAGCTCACAAGTTCACTCCCGACAACTATCTTGTCGTGGAGCAGGTTAGAAGAGGCAAGTCTACTTCCGATTTCGTGGTTCTTCACAGAATCGACGACAAAAAGTAAGACTCTCTTTTGCTTCTTCTTCTTTCCCCCTTTTTTCAGACAAATTGGTTTTGTAGTGATTTGGGTTTTGAAACCCCAAATTTTCCGACAGAAAACCCCTGCAAAGGTTGTGTTTTTTCTTGTCTGAAATTCCATGGAAATACAAAAAAAAAATTGGATTTATTTTTTTTGTCTAATTATAACTTTGTGTTTGTGATATGTTGGTCTCTAGCTAGATTTTCATGCCTTTAAGTTTCTTGTCTCCGTTAGGTATGCAATGAAGAAGGTTTGTCTGGCTAAACACACTGAGAAGTTAAAGCAAATCGCTTGCCAAGAGGTAACTTTCAATCTATCAATGGTTATTTTGTCAAGTATGGTTTCTAATTGACACATGAGGTGATCATTAGATTTGTAGTTTCCATATGTATTCTTGACTCATGTGTAATGTGTGGTTTGTTTAAGGACCAAAGTTTGTTTTATTTTGTGTTTAAAATTTTTCCATTCCTTATATATCATGTTCCCCCATAGTCTCATCTAAATCAGCTTCTTGATATGTTTTGTGTTGCAGATGAAATCGCTTTCAAAATTAAACAATCCTTATATCGTGGAATACGAAGATTCTTGGATTGATGAGGTAAAGGATTTAAGATATATAACAGGTTTATTAAGATTATTATCATCAGCATTCACATGTTTTTTTTTTTTTTTCTCTTCAAAACAGGACAATAACGCCTGCATTTTTACTGCTTACTGTGAGGGAGGAAACATGTGAGTTCAGCCATAAATGAAATCTGCCTATGAATATGATTACTGAATCAAAATAATAACTCTTCTTTTGTTACCAAATCAGGACTAATGCTATCAAGAAAGCTAGAGGAAAGTTATTTCCAGAGGAGGTAACCTGACCTCCTCCATTTTAGTTTTGGTTCCTGTCTTGTGCTGATTATAACAAAACTCATATGTGATTCTGCAGAGAATCTTTAAATGGTTGGCGCAATTGTTACTAGCTGTTAACTATTTGCATTCAAACCGTGTACTTCACATGGATCTTACGGTAACATCTTTCATCACTACTTTTCCTGGTGTGTGCCTTTTTTGGTAAAGAATAACGCTCTGAATGTTGAATAATCCTTCGCAGTGCTCAAACATTTTCCTTCCAAAGCATGATCACGTCCAGCTTGGTAAGATAGTTGAGAAGAATAGTTTCTCTTTTTTCACTATAAACTTATGTGTAACTATAAATTACTACTTACGGTGCAGGTAACTATGGTTTGGCGAAACTCATCAATCCAGAAAAGCCTGCTTCTTTGGTGTGTTATCTAACTAACACCTTTTTGTGTTGTCTTTATGCCATGCCATCTCTCTGGACCCATTTTTATATTTACTATCTAAAAAAAACAATTATTTATTTCCCAGGTTCCAGGAATTGCTAACAGCATGTGCCCTGAGGTTTTAGAAGATGAACCATATGGATATAAATCTGACATATGGTCGCTAGGTAAGTTTGAGAATTTAAATCCCAATATATTAAGACTCTGAAGTTACTGATAAGAATCACACTTTTATGCTGCTTTCTTCAGGTTGCTGTATGTATGAAATTACATCACACCAGCCTGCGTTTAAAGCTCCGGTGAGCATTTCTTAGTTTTTAATCTCTCTTATCAGTGTTTCCATGTGAGCATATGAAACTAAAATTGTGAGGAAAAAAAAAACTTAACAGGATAAGGCTGGACTCATCAACAAAATAAACAGATCTCTGATGTCTCCTCTTCCCATTGTCTACTCCTCTACCTTGTAAGTTTCTTCTTGTCTTCATTTAAATTCCCACAAACTCATAACTGTCATATTTACAGGAAGCAGATGATAAAGCTTATGCTTAGGAAGAAGCCTGAGCATCGGCCAACAGTAAGTTATTAACATAGATATCATTGTTGACACGTTTGATATAACAACACTAATGCTATTAACTAACTATTCTGCAGGCCTGCGAATTGCTAAGGAACCCCTGTCTACAACCTTACCTCCTTAAATGCCAAAACCTGTCTCCTATCTATCTTCCTGTTTTCCCTATCAACAGCCCTAAGGATAAGGCAAGAAGAAGTTCACTGCCAGGCAAGTTTGTGAAGGAGAGAGAAGAGAGGGAGAAGAGTGAGGTGTCTCGCAGCTTGGAGAACTTATATCCGTTTTGGACTAAAGCAGAGACTGGTTCTAGCAGCTCATCACAACCAGCATCGTCAACAAATGAAACAGATGATAAACCTGAAACAAAAAGAATCGATCCAAGCTGCGACACACTGAAGGTTACTGAGTCTGCTAGCGAGAAGACAACAAATCAGAAGGAAGAGAATGATGATGTGCCAAAAGAATGGGAAAATATGCTCTCTGAGGAGTCTCAGTTACTTGATGTTGATGTCGAGATTGTGAGTGGAGAAGAAGGTTTATGTTTCACTCAAGAGGCTGAAGCTCAGGAGGCAATTTTGGAACCAAAGGTGTCCATCACAAGCTCTGAAGTTGTGGCAGAAAGTGAGTGTTTGTCTGGAAGCGTTGAGGTGGATGAAGCAAAGACGGTGAAGCTAACAGCGAGTGAAATGTCTTCTGTACTGAGTAAGCTCACGAAGCTAGGTCTGCCACAGAGTAAAGAAAGAGCAGATGCATTGGAGCGTTTGTTGGAGAAATGTGCAGGGCTTGTAAAGCAAGAGAAGTATGAAGAACTTGCTGGTTTGCTTACACCGTTTGGAGAAGACGGTGTTTCGGCTAGGGACACTGCTATTTGGTTCGCAAAGACACTCTTGTCTTCTTCTGACAAACTCAACCATGGAACCTGATTTGAGTTTGTCTGTTTGAGTTTGAGAGAAGCCAATTTTTCTTTATTTGTCAAATATGTAGAAATCTTTTTGTGACTACTCTGCTTTTATATGTGTTATCTACTGCAACTAAGTTTTATATTTGAATGTGAGCTAGTTTTGTCTTCTCTCTCATTTAGCTTCTTTCATCACCATTCACTGAGTCTCTCTACTGAACAGAATCTGAGAAACTTTTCATTGTCAACTAAATTTTTCTGACAAATTGTATGTAATAAGATACTATATGGCCACATCATATAAGACATTCAGTTAACTCATTCAGTTAACTCCAGAATTTGAATCATATGAGTCAATCCCTAATTGACTAATACTCTAATTCTAAAGCAGGAGTGTAAGAACCAGCGCCACAAATCTCTATAACACTAATCAAAACAGATGATGAAGATCATCATCTTCTGTGAAGCTGTACACCACCGAGAGAGTCAGCCTGTCAAAAAACAAAAACAAAAAAGTGTTGTGGACTCATTAACTTCATTTGCAGAAGAACCAAACAGAGAGAAGAGAGCTAAAGTTGTAACTCTTTTTATTTTACCTAAAGACAACAAGGATGAAGAGAAAGATGTAGAACCCAAGCTTGGTAAACCTGAGCTTCTTTTCAAAGTTGATACCACGGAACACTTCAGTGACATCAATAAGATGTCGTCGCTTATTGTATCTGCGAAGTTTTTTATTTAGTTTCCATACATGTCAATCAAGAAACAAGAATATGGATTAGAGACTTACAACATTGCATGATAGCATGTAACAGGGAGAGTGATGAGGAAAAAGAACCAATGCCAAGTGAGGAGGAAGAGAATGCAGAGTGAGCCTTGGAGGATAAACTCAGGTAGTACCAATCGGTTGATACGAGTTGATGTTTCATATGGGTTCATGTAATCAGCTTCTAAATCGGTCAAGCATATAACCTATACATTATCACACACACACACACACAATATCAATAGAAGAAGAAAAAGGCTTTCTCAACGGTTAAGAATCATAAGCAAGAGGTGATATACTAGTGTGTGAGATAATCTCAATTCTCCCTATAACTCTCAGTTCATCAACTTTACACTAAAAAAGAATCATCTTACAGACACAAATAGCTGTCACTTTAGTTTTCAAGACAAACCATAAGCAAAACAACCTCTTTGGATGTAAAACACTATTGCAGGGATGTCTCTATTGTGAGAGGTTTATTAGTAAAAAGTCGATGAACACCTAAATTTCTGAACAGAAGCTAAGAGCCTAAGAGGAAGTGTTTCCACAGCTACAAGCTATAGTGAACAATTCGGACAAACTAACTGGTTCGAACAGAACAGATCTCGTTAATTGAAATCAAGGTGGATTAACCTGATAGAAGACGGAAGCGACGAGGGCTAAGCTGATAACGAAGGAGATAATCCATAAGAACAAATCCCATGCCATTGTTTCTTCTGAGGAGGAATCGAGAATATAATTATTTACAACTAACCTTTGCCTTTTTGTTAGGTCGTTGCTTTTAAAACTCGATTTTATTAATAATAAAACGAATGTACTTTAAGTCTTTAACTAATGAGACAGTACTTGGTGAGTTCTGTCGGAGACTTTACTTTTTCTTGCGTTTTATACGTTTTTGAGAAGATGAATTTGTCATATGAATTAGCCTGGGCTTGGAAGGTTACAGCCTTTATCCGATACCCGAACTCTTATCCAAATCCGATTCAAAATATCCAAATCGAAATTCGAATCGAAGTAACAAAATACCCGAATGGGTATTAAGTTAGGAAAGTGTGGATATCCGAATCCGAACGGCTAATTCCCGAACGGCTAATATCCGAACGAATATCCAAAGATAACTGAACATATGTAAATATACCTATTTATTTCTAGTTTGTTTGTCTCCTTTCATTAAAAATATTTATATTAATGTTATATATAGTTTAAGATCAAATAATATACATATAATTGTAAAAACAAATTGATTTATTACTCATTTAAAATGTATATTAAGCTTTTTATTTTATATTTTAAACAAAATTTGCATCTAAAATTCGAAAATAACAACCAAAATAATGATTTTTATTTTCAAACTTATTAATCGTCTGACTTATTAAACATTTTAAAACAGTTAAGTTAATAGTTAAATTTTAAATACATGAAAACTTAACTTAAGTAATAAAGAATTTAAAATTTTCTTTCAAAATCTAAATATCCGAACCCAACCCGAAATAACTGAATCCAAACTAAAAATATCTGAACCCAACCCGATATGTAAAAATAGCCAAACGAGTTCTAAACCCCAATAACAAATACCCGAACTGTACCCGAACACCCACCTTTTACAGGCAAAACAGTGTCGTGTTCAAAAGGGCAGATACTGTCAAATATTGCAACAAGGAGAGAGCAGAAATTAGCATTACCATAAGAAAGTCACAAACACTGTCACAGATATTTAACCTTAGGAAACGAACATGTGATACAAATTCTCCAGACTTTCTTGTCCATTAGAAACTTACACATCTTCTTACTTTGCTTGCAAACCCTCTCCCTCCTGTAAAAGCTTCACTTTCTTTTTGACTTCTTTGATGATACCCGGCTTTCAACTTTTCTCTTGGCAGCTTCAAACTCTTCTTCGTTTGGCTCTGTGTCAGCACTGCTACCATACCTGGAGGCAAGTGATGAGAACATTGTATCGAACTTCTCTTTCCTTGAATCTCTTCTCTGTGAAATTAGAGCGTAAAGATCTGTCTCTGTGCTCTCTTTTCCTCTACAAGTATTGCAAAATTTGAAACATGTTATCTTAAAGTGTTTTAACATTAGAGAGGGAAATTATTGGAAAGGACAAAAAAGGTAAAGACATGCAGAAGCTTACTTCTGTCTCATCTTTTGGGGACTCGTGGGTGGTTTTATCTCTGAGATTTCCTTTGCCCATTTCTTGTAAGCTTTTGTTGATTTCACTTCTCCTGCATTAGTGAAACACAATGGTTTCTTAGCGCACAAAAAATAAAATCACCACTTGTCATGGGTATTTGAATTAGTGGAACAGAGAGAGAAGTTCCTAACCTGCTGCAATGGCCTCATCAATGATATCTTTGAAACGGTGTGAATCAAGCTTGGGGTCTGAACAAAGCATTGAGCAGAAAAGCCTGAAATAGATATAATACCAACAATAATGTTCATATAAATTTAAAAATAATGAATAAACTAAGATGGATGATGAGTTACCTGCTCATTTTACCCTTAAACTTGGTGTAGAGCTCAATCAAATCTTTCTTCTCAGACTCAGATCCCCTGTAATTAGCCTCAAACTCTTCAATATCTTCCTCGGTGACCTATATTACACAAAAAAAAAGCCGCAAGAATCAGCAAGTGCAAGGAAACAGAACAAACAGTTGTCAGCAAATTCCAAACAGGAATCAATTTGCCAATAGTTGTGCTTGTTACCTTCTTGTACATTGCCTTGAAGAAGTCCCTCAAGTTGTCAACCACATCTCCCGAAAGATCCTAATAAGATAAGTGAAAAAAGTTTGTGAAAGAACATCTTGTATACTAACAGAGATTGAAAGCCTTTTGCTTTCACAAATGCGTTTAAACAGAAACTGGAAACAGTAAAAGAGACTACTTAACACACATGTGCAGTGTCTGAACTTCAAGGAAAACAAATGTACAATTTTTTTTTTTTGTTATCGAACAAATGTACAATTTAACCAGCATCATATAAAAAAAACTTGTAACAATTAAAACATTAAGATAAAGAAAAATGGAAGAATCCAAACTTACAGCATCATCGACGGAGCCAGTTTGATCATAGACAGCTCTTTTCTCTTCATCACCAAGAATTGATATCACCTTTTGCAGCTGCTGAAATTTCTCCGTTGCTTCCTGTTTTAAAAAAAAAGAGACAAAAAAAAAAAACAAGAACTCATGTCAATAACAAACGGACAGTAAATAAAAAGAAAGTCACAAAGTGTTGAACCTGGTCGTCTTTGTTTTTGTCAGGATGAAGCCTCAAAGCCAACTTGTGGTAAGCTTTCCTTATCTCCTGTTGTGTTGCTGTTGCTCCCACTCCAAGAACCTTTCAACCATTTCGTTACATTTAATTTAATTTAATTAATCTTCTTAATCAATACAATTAATCACCAACAAAAACAAGAGGATAATTGGATCATAAACAAATAATACGAATCTAACAATTCTCAACCCAGACTCATCACTAGACTATAATTACATGAAAATTTGACAAAACCAATCCAAAACTAAACCGATTCCAAAATCTATAAGAATCCTAAACCGGACTGATAAAAGAGAAAGGAGGGAGAGATATTATACCTCGTAAAGACTTCTCTCGCTACTACATCCCCCATCGTGATCCATTCTCAACCTTCTCTAGTTTTACTCTCTTTCAGAGAAGGGAACGAGTTAAAAGAAGAAATGCTTTATGGCGCCAATAGTTTCCAACCTTTTTTTTTTGTGTGTTGCCGCCTATTTCGTGAAAGGTATCTGATCCTTCTCTTAACCTAATGGTACAACTTTGTTATTTATCTAAACCCGAATTTAACCGATATTTGGTTTGATGTGGCCAAATAAATAAACCGAGTTCGATTAGGTAGTTCACAGTTATATATATGCCTGCGCGGCGTTTCGGGTGTCAATTCGTTCGGGTATTTCAAATAGTTCGGATAGAGAGATAGATGATCCATTTACTACTTAACATATTTTTGGTTCGATTCGGTTCAGATAGTTTCAGATTCGGTTCGGTTCGGATATTAAAATTAGGAAGCATAAAATACCTGGACATTTCAGTTCTCCTTTGCATCTCGTTCAGATAGTTCTGATAAATTATCGGTTATTTATAATAAAATATCAAATAATTAGAATGATATAGATATAAATTTTGGATATTTCGGATTACGTTAATTCGGATACTTTATAACTATTTAGTTATCTTCAACTATTTTTGGATAATTGATAGATTTTTAAATTAAAATCATATATTTAAGTATGTTATATGTATATAAAATTAATATTATTATATATTCGGGTATCGGTTTGGTTCTCGATTTGATTCTGGTTCGGTTCGGTTATTTTGGATATATAAATATACCATTCGGATATTTGAGGGTTCCGGTTTTGTTTCGGCTTCAGATATTTCGGTTCTTCGGTTCCGATTTTTTTTTCCCAGGCCTACTTATATAGTTGAGAAACAAAAAAAAAAGTATTTCACATTTAGTGATCTCTTTACAAATTATCGGTTCATCGGTTTTGCTTTTGTATCGAATTGAACACTTCTAATAATCGGTTTTGATACAAGCCACCGGTTAGGTGACTGAACGGTGACCAAGGGGCAATATCTAAAATAGACGGCCAAGATGAATGGTAAGATCTCTACTCCACGGGGCCCATAGGAACAAGAGTAACTGGGTCCCCCGCATGGGCCGTTAACCCTCCCTTCGTTTCTTTCTCTCACGATTCCAAATCGCTGTTCTCGTACATTGTGATCTGATTTTCTTCTACGTCAATGGTTACATTCCGTTGATCGAACGAATCCGAGACTCTTCTTCGAGTGGATCTGTTTTCAGACGATCGTGATCCGTTTTTTTTTTTTTAGAAGTCGTCCGAGCGCAAACGATGTCTAATTTATATGGAGATTACAACCAAAAGATCGATTACGTTTTTAAAGTTGTCTTGATCGGTGATTCCGCTGTCGGAAAAACACAGCTTCTTGCTCGGTTCGCTAGGAATGAGTTTAGTGTCGATTCTAAAGCAACCATCGGTGTTGAGTTCCAAACTAAAACGCTCGTCATTGATAACAAAACCGTCAAAGCTCAGATTTGGGATACTGCTGGCCAAGAAAGGTTTGCTTTTCTTCCACTTCACGCTACTTAATTGTCTCATTCGTTTGGACAGTGACATGCATGCATGGATATAACGTGGTAATGTCATGTTTTAATTCCCTTTAAATAAACTACGTACCTACACCCTTATGGTGGATTAATGTTGGCCGAGATTGATGTTTTCGAATACTAGGCAAACAATTTAAGTAGGTGAGTATGGTCTAAGCCTAAGCGTGTCCTAGTTACAAAAATGCACTTCATTACTGTATCGAGAAAAGACTAGAGTGTAACAGGAAACAATATTCAAAGATGAACAGACAGCTTCACGCTGCTTTTATATATTAATCATTCTCGTTCTTAAACTATTCATGAGTGCCCATTAAGAAACTAATTTCCCATTGAGGCATTGACTTCTATAGTTTTGATATGTCAACAGGCAACATGACTACGTGATCTTTGATAATCATCATTATATTTGGCATATATATATCAAATTGTTTTACAGTTTTCTATTTTATTTTCAGGTACCGGGCGGTGACAAGCGCATACTACCGTGGAGCTGTTGGGGCAATGCTGGTCTACGACATGACCAAACGTCAATCATTTGATCACATGGCTAAATGGTTAGAAGAGTTAAGAGGACATGCGGACAAAAACATAGTGATTATGCTAATCGGAAACAAATGTGATCTTGGTAGCCTTAGAGCAGTGCCAACAGAAGACGCACAAGAGTTTGCAGAAAGAGAAAACTTGTTCTTCATGGAAACCTCTGCTCTCGAAGCTACCAATGTTGAAACCGCGTTTTTGACCATCTTAACAGAGATTTATCGTATAATCAGCAAGAAATCATTAACGGCTGATGATGATGACGCAGATGGGAATTCGAGTCTTTTAAAGGGGACAAGAATTATCATTCCGAGCGAGGAGGAGAGTGGGAAGAGAGGTGGATGTTGTGGCAAAACGTAACTCCAAAAGCAAAAGACAAAAGATTATATTCTTTTTTTGTTTGATTTTTGTTGTGTTTTCTTTGTGTTTTGTTCATGTTAGGCCATTTGTTCTTGAAACGAAAACAATAAGCCAAGGTTTGCTAGAGAAAGAAGAATCACGAAGAAGAAACCAAGAGCTCCATTTTCTCACATACCACCATGATCAAGGACACCAACATTATGAGATTGTTGATTGTGTTTAATTAACTTTTAGAGAACTGAGACTAGATGAATATTTTCTTGTTTCATTAAGTCTGGAGTTGTTGTTTCAAAATGATTATTAAGCAGTATGACCTCTTTAATTTGGGAGTCTTTAAATAATCCCCTATATATTATTTGCGAAGTGATTTTGCCATATGTACTCTCTACAATTAGTTTCACAAAAAAATGATGACATGTCTACTATAATTGATGACATGGCATATGATTAAATATGACATGGACAATTACATTTAATGTTAATATATATTTTTGGAAAACTTTATAAAATATGGTAACAACTCATACATTAGATTTGATGTCGATTTATATTTTTGGAACTATTTTTAAAATATGGTAATAACTCATAAATCATCATTAAAATAAATATATTCAAATATGGCATTATAAATTTCGAAAATATCATTTAATTATATATTTTAAAATTATACAATTTTTTACAACCTTTTCAAAAATGTATACATTTTTGAAAATTATTAAAATTTAATCGTAAAATTATTAATTTCTTATATATTTACAAATTTAATAAATATTGTCTAATTTTAATTTTTGATAATTATAAAATTTTCTACAAATTTATTTAATATATTTAATTAAAATAAATAGATAAAAAATATATCTAAGATTATAATTTTAAATATATACATGCATATTCTTAAATATAATTTAAAATAAAAAATAATATTTTTCTATCCTTTTTATGTTTAATTTTAAAAAAATTGTATTAAAATAGTGATAAGAAAAAGAAAATTTATAATATTAATAAATTTTAATTTTAAACATAATTTGGAAAACTTTATAAAATATGGTAACAACTCATATATTAGATTTGATGTCGATTTATATTTTTGGAAATATTTTCAAAATATGGTAATAACTCATAAATCATCATTAAAATAAATATATTCAAATATGGCATTATAAATTTCGAAAATATCATTTAATTATATATTTTAAAATTATACAATTTTATTACAAACTTTTCAAAAATGTATACCTTTTTTGAAAATTATTAAAATTTAATCATAAAATTATTAATTTCTTATATATTTACAAATTTAATAAATATTGTCTAATTTTAATTTTTGATAATTATAAATTTTTCTACAATTTTTTTTAATATATTTAATTAAAATAATTAGATAAAAAAATCTATCTAAGATTATAATTTTAAATATATACATGCATATTCATAAATATAATTTAAAATAAACAAAAAATATTTCTATTATTTTTATGTTTAATGAAAAAAAAAATTGTATTAAAATAGTGATAAGAAAAAAAAGATTTATAATATTAATAAAATTTTAATTTTAAACGTAATTTATATTGTATCTGTTAAAAAAATATTTTAAATCTTTTTACTGCACATGGTGCAGGAGAACACCTAGTTAGGATAAATTTCACAAGTAGACGTTTATAAGTTTCTATCACAAAAATAAAATTCAAAAACTAAAATTATCAAAATAGCAATTTTTATTTTGAAAAATTAAGTCGTTTTATAAAAAAATTTGAAATTACATCGTTAAAATTCCACTCCTCAACTCTAAACAAAAAGGTCTAGAATTATTTAACTCAAAGAGTACATGTGCATATTTACTTATTTTTTATAAAACATTTAAGTCTATTTTGATCATTTTTATTTTTAAGGTCTATATTTGTGACAAATTTTTTTGTTAAGTCTTTCCTAGGAAATTTCCCAAATATGTATACTAGAAAGTAATGCAATTTTTGAAATTTCAAAAATTGATAGGTTTAACCCATGACCTCGAAAATTTGGTAGATTTTGACTATATCATCAGAACACGACAAAACATTTTCAAAACGATTGTTAAGCAGTTTTAACACTACTTAGTTTATGGATATTTAAATAAGTATACAAGCACGTAATAAATATTTTCAAATTTTCAAAAATTCATAGGGCGTTAGCCCACAACCTCAAAACATTATGTGAATTTTGACATTATCCTCAAGAGACGATGAAATATTTTTAAAACGATTGTTAAGCAGTTGTCGAGATCAACGTTAAAGAATCCAATCCAAGGATTTTGAGAGCAGTTGAAAACCAACTCTAAAAATGCCCAAATCTCTTGATGTAGTAGTGAAATACGGAGAGACTGCATGAGTAGGACTACACATTGAATAGTCGACGGTACAACTTCCGAAGGATAGAGAAATGCTGAACTTAGGTGTCGTTAGAGTAAGATGCCGAAAGACTATCAGAATATGACTACACGAACAGTCGTCGACGATATAGTCTGTATCGCGTTGTATCATTAAACATGCTTTTAGTAAGTTAACAAGAACGCGCCTTCTCTTTGTAGTCTAGAGGGGTGTGGTCTTTGTATAAAATGTATTAAGCTCCTCGTGTTGTATCAATTTTGTTTTAAGGAATAAGATTCGTTGGGCTTTCGAAAGTGGTGGGCTCTACTAACATTCATCTGTCTGCCCATTGTATTGTTTTTGTCTCGATTCACAACAAAGACTGTCGCACACTCATTGGATTCCATTGTCATATCATAATCACTAGATCTTTAACACGTTTTAGACGTTCTTTGTGGAAAAAAATGTCATGTAATTGTATTAGTCTCAGGGTAAAGATACATTCTTAAGTCGTCTAACATTACCTATACTATTTAATTATTCATCGTTTGCACATTGCATATACATGAAATGATTGCAGCATGGCAAACTCATATGATTGTACTCACCATACCACACAATGGGTTCGTGGAGTGACTCCAGCCACATGCAAACTTTCAAAAAATTTAAATAAAAAAAAACTGAATATGTATTTACCGCGCTTTATGAATTACAAAACTTTAAGAAAGGAATATTATACGTTGGGAGTTGTGTAACCCTTGCTTGTACAAATGCAGTAACATAACACAGCTGTGTTCCATTGAAACTCTCTGTTATATATCAGCTTCACTATTCAGTCAGAAGCAACCACTTAAATCACAATGAAGCTCCTTCTTCATCTCTCTATCTTCTTCACCATACTCTTCATCTCTCTCCCATCTTCTCACAGCTCCTCCTCAAATGACAAGAATGCCCTCCTTGAAATCAAGAAAGCCTTGAACAATCCTCCACTCCTTTCCTCCTGGAACCCCCAAACCGACTTCTGCACCAGCTGGACCGGAGTCGAGTGCACCAACGGCCGTGTCACCGCCCTCACCATCTCCTCCGGCGAAATATCCGGCCAGATCCCTGTCCAGATCGGTGACCTTGATGGCCTCCGTACGCTTGATTTCAGTTACCTGACTCATCTCACTGGAAACATTCCACACACCATCACCAAACTCAAGAACCTTGACCTTCTCCGGTTAAAGCAAACCAATCTCTCCGGTTCAATTCCTGATTACATCAGCGAACTCAAGAGCGTTACGTTTTTAGACCTTTCGTTTAACCAGTTTACCGGTCCAATTCCCGGTTCGATTTCTCAGATGCCGAAGCTAGAAGCCCTTCAGATCAATGACAATAAGTTAACCGGTTCTATACCGAACTCTTTCGGTTCTTTTGTTGGCAACGTTCCTAATCTCTACTTGTTTAACAACAAGCTCTCAGGTACGTAAGCAACGTTTTTAATTTATTTAATTAATTTCTGGTCACGTTATATCCTAGCCTCGTAGCTTCAAATGTTTTGTAACCACTAGAAAATACATATTGGAATATTAATAATTAATTACTTTTAAGATCTGTCCCATGTTTTTTACTAGCTTCGTAGCTTAAAATGTTTTTTTTTTAGCTTAATAATTAATAATTGATTTTTTTTTATTCGTATATGTATTTTTAGTGATTACATAAGCTTAAAATGTTATGTAACCACTAAAAATACATATACGGATATAAAAATAATTATTTTAAAGATCTGTCTCATATTCTTTAAAAATAAAATTTATTGGTTTAATTTTATTTTCTTGCAGGAAAAGTTCCAGAATCATTGTCAAAGTACGACTTTAACGCAGTGGATCTGTCGGGAAACGGTTTCACAGGAGATGGTTCGATGTTTTTCGGACGGAACAAAACAACAATACGAGTGAACCTATCGAGAAACATGTTTGAGTTTGATCTCTCCAAGGTTAAGTTCGCTAGGAGCATAGTGTCGTTGGATCTAAGCCATAACAAAATCTTTGGGAAGTTTCCTAGGGAGCTGAGTAAGCTACGTCTCGAGTTTTTCAACGTTAGTTACAATCATCTCTGCGGAAAAATCCCAAGTGGTGGTCTCCTTCAGACATTTGAACCATCTGCGTTCTCCCACAACCTCTGTCTTTGTGGGACCCCACTTAAGGCTTGTTGATTTGGTTTAAATGGCGTGAGAAGAAATAAGTAGTATGTCTTTATCTGTATGATGATGATGTGTTAATTATCACACCGCCTGTCAAGGGAATTGCTCTATTTAATAAAATTATTGTTAAGAGTTTGGTATGAATGTTGTTGAGATAATCAAAGTGTACTCTCTAAACTATCCACCACGTGTTAATTATCTTCTAACCTATGGCTGAAGTTGACCACCACACACGTGGAGAAGATGTTGTAGGCTTGTAGCTGTAGCTTTATATCTATCTATCTTTAGTTTGGTATTAACTCCTAAAACAAGAATTACTCTCCAAGTTTAAGTTTCTCAACAAGGTTTGAAAATATAGATATGTACAGTGGTTCAGCTGTAGGCGTTCGATGATGAACCTTCTCTTTGTTTAACTAATCTGCTCGTTCAAATAATTGAGCATTTTTTTTACTGTAGATACACTACCAAAACTTTCAAGTTTTGTGTTTCTTAGTACAAGTTATTGGGAGACTTGTACTAGGCGTTAAACTGGTAGTATGTGACTGATAAATTTTGGAAGTGCTAGTAGGTTGTGTTTTGTTGAATTATTTACATCATCATAGTCGTGAAAGGATTGTGATAGAACACCATACTCTTAACCAAGTTTTCTAGCTTCCAAGACCATTGATGCCAGCGTTGATGATGCCTTGATAATAAGTTAATAACTCTTGTCTTTGTAGGTAAACTACATAGACTACAGAGTGACATGGAGGCACAACTTCATCAACTTGAGAAGGAAGCATATGCAGCTGTTTTAAGGGCTTTTAAAGCGCAGTCTGATGCATATACTTGGGTATTAGTTTCCACCTTAGTATTGATTAGGTTCCTGTGTAGATATGTCAGTCTCATGACTAACTCTATGTTTTTTATTGGCTGTGCCATTTTGACAACTTAGGATCAAGAAGCCTTGGTAACAGGTTTGCGTATAGAGTTGAGGATATCTGATGACGAACATCGAGAGCTTCTGAGCAAGCTCAATGATGACGTTACTATCCAAATGATAAGGTTGGATTGTTTATTAGCACTAACAATTATAAAGCAGTAATGTATATATTATATTTTTGTTGCAATCAATTCGTATGGCTATTTGTTATTTCTAATATGTATATATTTGTCTATTCTCTGTGTAGGCTCCTCCGTATAGAGTAAAAGGTTGAAAGATGTGCGTTGGAACTGAGTCAAGAATGAATTTACTTTATGGATTGTATTTTAGCTACAAATTACTTTATGTTTAAGGACTATGTTATACACTATGTTTTAGTTTTAATTTAGAGGAGGTTTTTTAGAAAAAGAATATTGATAGTTTCCTATTTAATTTTGTCACATCTCTCAGTTTTACATTTTTTATGGACTTAGGTTTATATTTTAGATCATTTGGAACACTATATGATTTAATTAGTGTGAACTGATATTTATATGGTTTTGAGACCAAAGTCACATTGGACCCTTGATGGGTGATAAGTGATAACTGGTAATGGGAATTTATAATAGAGAAATTCTTTCAAACGGATTTTTTTAAAATTGTTTATCATAAAATAGACTTTAAAAACTAAAATATCAAAATAAAACTTTTTATTTTATAATTTTTTATTTTATTTTAAAAATTTGAAATCTTATCCAAAATCCTACTACTCAACTCTCAACCCTTTATAAAATATTTAAATTTATTTTGAGTCATTTTTACGTTTAAAATCTATATTTCTGATATAAAGAATTTCTCTTAATTAAACCGGTAACATGGGCCAAACTCTCTTTTAGTGGGCCTTGTTAAGTTTTTATTTTCCAAAACGCGTCGTTTCGCTCTTTAAATCGATTGCTCGGTGATTCCGACGCCATCCCCATCCGAGTCCCCGGAGAAATCGATCGTACCTCGCTTTGTGCCCCTCTTCGCTTCATTTAGATCACTTCTTTCCATAAGGGAATCCAAAGTTCGATTCTTCCCCCCCCCCCAAATTTTCAATTCCGTTATTTTTTCCGTTTAACCAAACGCGCGTCGAACCCTAAAACCCATTAATTGCTCTTTTTTGCGGGTCAAGTTGCGAATTGAGCTTTCTAGGGTTTTCGTATCTGATTCTGTGGAGAACAAAAACCCCTCTTTGTGGCGTTTCCTTAACAGAGGTATGTATAGCGTTTTTGCCCTCCCTGTTCGAGCAATTAGCACCTTAGGCCGTTCTTTGGTGAACCCTTCTCCCTGCATAATTGAATTGCGTTTGCGGCTAGTTTTAGGCTTGGAATTTAATAAAGAGGGTCTAGGGTTTAGTTAACGAAAGATAGGGTTTAGGATTTGGATAAAAAGTGTTCAGCTTTCGTGATTTTGTTGAGTTTAGGGGGAAACTGTGGTATGTTTTTAAATATTGCTGCTTGAATTAGCTGTTGAGTGGCCTCAAGTGTGTAAGAAATCTAGAATGTTGTTGTTGAGCACAATGTTAGTACTCTTTTGTAGTTGGCTGATTAGTTTCGTTTGTCCTCTTGATTATCAATCACTCTCCTTTTTCTTTCAAAACTCGAAATTCTTCTTACCGCGTTATATAATCTTTGTGAGAATTATCGAGAGCTTCTTTACTAAGGTGCCTTCCTGCTGTTACGTTTTCTAGATCTTTTTGTGGCCAAAAAGTTTTCAAATTGTGTTTGTTAGGACAAGGGTTCTTTTGAGGCTTGTATAAGGTGTTAGACTGGTGGAGGTTTGGATTTTTGCTCCTTGGGAAAATAACACTAGATTTTTCCTTATGTGTCCTTGTAGTATGTGTGTTGATCAGATTACTTATTTGTTTCAGCATCTAACTGCTGGTAGGGTGGGAATAGTTGGATTATGATTCCACAACATAAACATTTAGCGAGTAACTGTTTTTCTAGCTTTCCAGACTATTGATGCCTTGATGGTTACTGATGTCTACGTGACAGTAAAGCTTTAAAAGTTGGATGGGAAGTCTCTGTAGATAAACTACATTGTGTTATGGAGGCACAAGTTCATCAACTTGAGCAGGAAGCATATACCGCTGTTTTAAGGGCTTTTAAAGCCCAGTCTGATGCTATTTCTTGGGTAAATATTTTTTCATCTTTAGATTGATTAGGTTACTGTGTGTTCTGTCAGTCTCATGACTAAATGTATGGATTCTGTTGGCTGTGCCATTTCCACTACTTAGGACAAAGAAAGTTTGATAACAGATTTGCGTAGAGAACTAAGAGTATCTGATGACGAACATAGGGAGCTTCTGAGCAGGGTCAATAAGGATGATACCATTCAACGGATAAGGTCAGAATGTTTATTTTCACTAACAAATACAATTGAGTAATTTATCTTGAATGAACTTTTGTTCTTAATATATTGTACGTTGGAACTGTACCAGAGATTGGAGACAGGGAGGCGGAAGCCAAGTCCCTTCTAGACATGCAACTAATCATGGTTTTGACGTTGTTCTTAGTCCAACTTTCTCAGCTTCCCGGAAGAAACATAAGCCATTCCAATCTGTAAGTCTTCTGTTTCATTCGTAAGTGTGCTTTCTTCTGTGTATTTCCATCGTTTTGTTATGTTATTTTTTGAACAATTATCGGTGATATGCATGCAGTATCATCCATCAATTGGTCCTGCTGGGAATAGGTCATTCAATAATCGCGTTGTATCCGGTGGTATTTCAGCAAATGAATCTGCTGAAGCTCTTGTCGGAAGAAAAGTGTGGACAAAATGGCCTGAAGACAACAACTTTTATGAAGCAATTATAACCCAGTACAACGTAGCTGAGGTACTGGGTAGAGAGCTCCAGTTTTTCCCGAAGGCTTGGAATGTGTTTGCATATCTTAGATGGTGCACACTGGCTCGAGTTTCGGTGCAGTTTATTGAATTGTTGTATTTTTTCACAGGGTCGGCATGCTTTGGTGTATGATATAGACTCAGCAAATGAAACGTGGGAATGGGTTGATCTGAAGGAGGTAAGCTTTACTTGAATATTTATATTCGTAGTCTTTTTAATGGTCACATTTGTTTGTGCAAGCGATTATGGTGTCTGTCTTTATATGGTGATGATCTTGATGAGAATGTTATTGTAGATTCCACCGGAAGATATAAGGTGGGATGGAGAAGAGAGTGGGGTAGCTTTAAACATTGGACTTGGAAGTGGATCAATCCGTGGCAACCGAAGGAACCAAAGCCATTATGGTAGAGGGAGAGGACCAAGAATTCATCAACCAAGACGAGAACTTGGACCACCTCCAGCACAACAGAATGGTGGTGGTGGTGATTGGAGAACTTCCTCTGATGATATTGAATTGTTCAACACAGACTCACTTGTGAAGGAGGTTCAGTATTTTTTTATCTGTTGTGTACCCATTAAACTCAACGGCCTTTCTAACATCACAGGTTCGGTTTAGGTGGAGAGAGTTTTCGATTCTACTCATCCTGATCCTTTTGAGCTTGATAAGGCCAAGAAAATGCTCAAGGTCTGAGATAAAAATACTATTGGATAATTAGGGGTGGTTTAGCGTTGTGATTCTGAGGAAAATAACACAAGTTGTGGTGATGCAGGAACATGAGCAGGCGCTTATTGCTGCCATTGCAAGGCTTGCGGATACTTCTGATGGTGAAATCGGTAATAATAACAAAAGCAAGTCTTCGTTTTGTTTGCAGAATAATTTTCTATTTACCATTCAATTATATATAAGCTCAAAAGTCATTACAAACGTAATCCTACGCAAAAATATGTTAAATCACACTTTGCTGCTCCGAGTGTAACTACTTGTGAATAGTCTCTTAGCCTGTAAATACATGACACATATCTTCTTTCTCTTACTTTTGGATTGTGTGCTTCTTTGTTGGAACTATAAGTTTATTCTTTTGTGTGGTTTACATGTTCCAACTCAACAGATGGAGATCCACCATATTCGCATGACCATCCAATGCCACAGGGATGATGTCAAAGCTGGATGGAACACTCATGGTGTTTGGACACATCAGTAACCCTCAGGGGCTCTGGATTTAGATAGAAGCATTGTGGTCATCTGACAAAGAAACTGCTCTCAAGAGGTATGTCTGCTGAGAAGATGGTCAAGACTTGTGTTAAAATTGTGATCAGCAAAATGTATGAAAGACCGTAGGATTGTGAGATGTAAGCAAAATTATTTTGGTTTAGAGAGAATGTAACCTGTGACAATAATTGACCCCATGTAAATTTTCCAGAGTCCCCCTCCAATGAGATTAACTAGACCTGCCGTAAAAAATGATGACAGTAAAAGCAACCTGTGTTTTACTTTTCAGCATAATCGTAACATGCGCAAATAGAAAATCAAAGCAACATTCCTCAATGTTTAGTTTTCTTGGTGAAAGAGAAACACCTGTGATCATGTTAAGGTAAGGCTTTGCCTTAGGAGCTATTAGTTGTACTAATAAACAAAGGATGATGAGATGACTTTCAAAAACACGTACCTCATATGTTTCTGCATTCATCTTGGATCAGGAATGTTGATGACAATCAGTTATTGTCGTTTCCCTCCATCTCCATGGTTCTTACTCTATTGAAATCATCTAAAAACTTGAGAACATGACAAGTTTGCTCCATTTTTTTTGGGAGATTTGAAGGTAATAGGTTCAGGAATAGTAGACATGATATAACACAAGAGCCAGAAAAAAAAAAAACAAGTTGGATACGAAACGATTTTCAATTCGGGAAATCTAAAGCTAGAAACATGTTAAACTAAACAAATGACATGATGAATGATTAAGCCATGGAAACTCATCATACCTGGAGATGGAGAAACGGTTTAGAGATTGAGGGGATTTGGAGAGAGAGGATGGATGTCAATAACACCAAGGAAAGAAATGTTCTTGAGATTATTGTTTTGACCCTTTTCTCTTATTCCTTTCATTGCTGTGAACAACAATGGAAATAGTTTTCCTTTTTCGTCGATATTGTGGAAGCCCATTGATAATACAGAGAGCCCAAATTAAGGAAAAAAAAATTAATCACAAAGCTCAATAGATTAACATAGTTAAACCCATTAGTTTATTTGATAAACTCTATCGGTTGATTCTATCAGCCTCGAGCGAAATACACTTAATATTATAGAATGAATTAATTCAATATATACCACGCTACCTAAGTCAAATTTAGAATATCACTAATATTATAGGATCGATCGTCTATTACGATCATATAAATCACCCGAACCAAAACCAAACCATGGAAAATGAGATAGTATATAATTTAAATTTCAAATAGACTATAATCTATGACTATGTAGTACACACAAAATTCCAAAATATTACCAATAGATTACCACCATTGGTTAAACTCCTTAATTTGGAATAAGATAGAAAAATCAAAAGTTTTCCAGAGTCTAGAATCAGATAAAAAAGTCAAAAGTTTTCCTCAATGATAAAAGGTACCTTGGCGGAAACAATTGATCCATTTAGTAGCTGAATATTAATAATTGACAAGCGAATTCATACAATATCGTCTTTACACTAAAAAGAACAAGTTAAAATGAAGAATTTTTTACATTCACAGCCACTTTCCCACTTTCTAATTACATGTGGAGGCACTTTCCACATGAGACACACTTTTGTAGTGTTGTTTGACTACTATACCCTCTAACACAATTCTCAAAGATTTATTCTCTCTCTCGCGTGACTATCTCTTAACTTTACCCATTTTTCTCAGCTATCTTCTATCTCTCTCACTTTTCCAATTCACACTTTATGAACCTTAATTCACTCCCCTTTATCGTCCTCTTCCATATACCTCTTTTTCCTGCCATGAAAAAATTCTTTGATTGTAACAAATCAATTCTGATGATGGAGCTCCACCGCAGTGCCACCGTCTTAGATCACAACGGAGCTCCACCGCAGTGACGTCATCTTCTTCCCGGAAACCATCCACCATATCCACCGCAGCGTTGAAAGCTCACTTCAAACCATCTACTNGATTGTAACAAATCAATTCTGATGATGGAGCTCCACCGCAGTGCCACCGTCTTAGATCACAACGGAGCTCCACCGCAGTGACGTCATCTTCTTCCCGGAAACCATCCACCATATCCACCGCAGCGTTGAAAGCTCACTTCAAACCATCTACTACCAACGTCAATGGGAACAGACGGGTCAGAGCAAGTTTCTTCCCGGAGCTCAGGCGTAGCAAATCGTTTTCAGCAAAGAACAATGAGGGAATGTCCGGTGGGTTTGAGCCACAGTGTCGGTTTTGTGACGTCAGGCTTCGTGACGAAAATATAAGCATCTCCACCACTAAAGAAGCTGGTACCTTCTTCAAAACCCATATGTTATGGATTTCAGAATCCAGATCAGCAAAGTTTGGATTTCAAAATCCAGATGTGCAAAGATGTGGATGGATAAGTGTGGATGGGTGGTGTGGATAGCTATGCGTGGATAGCTAGTGCGTGGAAGGGTATATGTTGATGATTGAAGTTTGGAAGGATGATGGGAGTGGACAAAGTCTTTATAGTATTGCTCCACGTGAGCATGATCTTCCGGAATTAGTGGAGTTGTTTTTGGTGATGTCTTGCTTGGTGAAGTGGATGCATTTGAGTCGCAGTACTCGTCCACGTATCACTCATCCACACAAAACATTCATTAAGGGTAAAATTGTCCAGAATCTACTGGTGGCCCACAAAAATGTGCCTCACATGCAAGATGTGTCTCTAAATGTAAAGGAAAGTCAAAAGTGACATTCAGTGTAATCAACTCTAAAATGAAACACAATAGCAAGTTTTATGCCCAGCCAACATTTGAATGATTATCTCAGTCCGGTTTTATAGTTTGTATTTCGTTCCATCCTCAAGACAACCGTTAAACGCGTGTCATGTCTATGGCCTAGTCATGTCGAAGCAAACTGTGAAAAGACAGTTCATATGTGTTTGTTGGGCTTCCTAGGTAAGGGAAAAAGGTTTTTAAGACTTAAACATGATTAACTTATGATTTGACATTTTTTTATATATTTTTTGGTTAAAAAATAGTTTTTATATCTCTTATTTAATAAATAGTTTTTAGTTTTTCTTAGTTAAAATCTAAAGAAAAAGTTAATAATAATTTTTTTAGCCAAAACTAAGAACTCTAGTTAAGAAATTAGGGTTAATTATGGTCTAAGTAGCTTGCAATCTCGGTTTACCTTTTCTTAGTTTGCCATTGGCCAATCTGGTTTGAGTTTCGGATTAAAAAATAATAATGAAAAGAGTTAAAAAAGAAAAATAGTAAGGAAAAATCTCATATTATCTCGACGACAACCACCACCTCAGGGTTAGGTTTATTCTTTCTCTCCCTATCCCTATTCCGATCTGGTCTTCTCCGATTCTCTCTAGACACAGACGAGGGTTTCTATATCGGATCTGCACTTCTGCCATGGATATTCGTAAAAGAGGACGGCCCGAAGCTGGTTCATTCAACTCCAATGGCGGCGGATTCAAAAAGTCTAAGCAAGGTTACTTTTTTTTTTCTTATCTCACTATCTTCCCTTCTGTGTGAGTCTGTTTAGCTCTTAGCCTCTTACAATCATTCCTGTATGAATTTAAATACAAATCCTTTTTCAGTTTTTGTCCTTTCGAATTTGAGATCTTTATTAATTTTTTTTTCTGTCTGAATTGGATTTGGCTAGTGATGATTTCTTCTAATTGAGTTCCGTACTACAATTATTCAGCAAAAAAAAAAATAGCTTTCTTTTATAAAAGCTAGTCGTGAGATTTTACTCAGACGCAAAGTTTAGATCTTTCTTTCTCACTGTTTTGTTTTGTTTTGTTTTGTTTTGATGTCTTCTTCTTTGTTTTATAAACTGCTTGCCGTTTTTCTATTTGATGCAAAATGTCTAAGTTCCATTAGCTTTGTTCAGTTGTGTAACAGCCCAAGCTTATGTTTATCCAAAAGTTTCTTTGATGAGTTCCAATATATTTAGTTTAATCCCTCTTCTCAATTATAAATAAGTTCAGTTGAGTAACAGCCGATGCCTTTTCCTTTGTCAACGTATTGATGTGTCTAGTTGTTAGTAGATAGTCTTGAAAATTTAGAGAAATATTATCATGGAGCTTTGAATTTTTAAGTCTCTCAAGATTCATATAGATGAAAGTATGAATGATATGAATGATTGTGAAGCAATATTATTTAACTTCAAAAAAAACTCTAAACTAAAGAATAAACACACTTAAATTTTTGGAACAGAGATGGAATCATATTCAACTGGTTTAGGAGGCAAATCCAAGCCTTGCACTAAATTTTTCAGGTTAATAAATCCTTTTTACTTGAAATGAATTAATATACAAAATTGTTATATATATCTGCAAGTGTGCTCGTCAAATTAACGAGTTAAACTGTATGCTAATGAAGTGGTTAATTGTTATTACAGGTACGTATAAATCCTTCATGCTAAACAAGTTAAAAAAAAAAAGTTTCAATAACGGATAAGTTCATCTGGATTTTAATTTTAGAAACGTTTTGGTGATCATAAAGTACAAAATTAACCATAACTTTGCCTTTTGTATGAGTTGCAGTAATTTTCTGTTTGGTGGAAGGTGTTAAATGATGTTGTGTTTGTGTCATTGTCATATATACTTCCTCTACACACTAACCGCCTGTTCTCTTGTGTCATCTTATGGGGAATGATTTTAACTCTCTGATGTGTTTATTATACCTTTATTGCAGCACCTCTGGCTGTCCTTTTGGAGATAACTGCCACTTCTTGCATTATGTACCCGGAGGATACAATGCTGTAGCACAGCTGACAAATATGGCACCCATGCCTCAAATTTCCAGAAATATGCAAGGACCTGGTGGTGGTGGAGGGAGATTCTTAGGGAGAGGAGAGTCTGGACCTGGCCATGTGCCTAGCTTTGGTGCATCAGCCACTACAAAGATCAGTGTGGATGCTTCATTGGCTGGCGCCATCATTGGAAAAGGTGGAGTCAGTTCGAAACAGATTTGTCGTCAGACGGGGGTAAAGTTATCGATTCAAGATCACGAGAGAGACCCTAACTTGAAGAACATTGAGCTTGAAGGGACGTTTGAGCAGATAAATGAAGCTAGTGCAATGGTTAGAGAGCTGATTGTGAAGCTTAATTCTTCAGCTAGGAGACCACATGGCGTTGGTGGTGTTGCTGGTGGTGGTGGCCTTGGTTCAGAAGGGAAGCCGCATCCAGGGAGCAACTTCAAGACAAAGATGTGTGAGAGATTCGCTAAAGGAAACTGTACTTTTGGAGATAGATGTCACTTTGCACACGGGGAAGCAGAGCTGCGCAGGTCAGGAATTGCCTAGTTTGCTGGCATAAAACAAGTCTCTGCTCTTTCTGGTGGTGATCTCTAATATCATCTTCTTCATCTACTTTTTACAAGTTGTCTTTGTTTTGCGAAAATACAATGTTAGTTTCATTGTCATTGTAAGTTTTCTTTCTCTCTATGTTGTGATTCTTAGAATAAAGTTTTTTTGATAAATTGAGTTTGAATTGAGATGAGAAACTTTGCTGATGAGATTGACAGAGGGTTGTTAGGATTTGTATGCTCCCTTTATTTTTTATTAGTCATGCTTCCTCTGTTTTGTCAGTTGTGTGAGAATCAGATGCATCATTTTTGATAGTGCATATCTTGGAAAAGCTTTTTCTGTTTTAAAATGATCGATGATTGTTTGGAAAAAAACATTGTTTTAGGTGATACATTTTTTAAAAGATTTAATTCCATTTTTCAGATAATAGTGATAAGTGAAAAAATTTCAAAAAAATAATTATGCTTATTGAATTTAATTGGTTAAACATTGTAGGAAATAGCTAATCACGAAAAAAAAATATTTATTTATAACTAAATTTTGAAACATATACTGTATTTCTAAAGACGGGGGAAATGCATGTTATGGAACTCGCAACTGATAGTAACAACAAATGAATAAAAAAAACAAAACCATATGGGTGGGTGATCTTTAAATAAAAATGTTGAAAGAAAGGTGTGTCGTTGTTAGAGGTAATGCTTAGACAAATAAAACTCTAATCATGTTCTAATACAAGAGATCTCTAGCGGACTAATTACTAATTAATTTTTTACTAGACGCCTCCTACTTGTTTTTAGTCTGCCACCTAAATTAGTTATGAATATAGTCTCAAGATGGTTACACATAACAAACAAGTTCGTCACATGACCACCATCACAATATGTCTGTAGATATTTCAAAGTTTTATTGGCTTCTTCACTTGTGAGAAGAAAGAATCCAAACACAATCCTCCGTTTTCCACTTTTAGTTTCTGCCACCAGTATTAAAACTAAAGACATCAAACTACCATCTTCTTTCTCAATTAATTGATGATTATTACGACTAGTCTCTTCGTGAAATTCGGTTGTTTTATTATACCACTTTTCTCGTGTTTACACTTTTACAGTGGATACGAAAACTTAACAAAACTGAAAACCCATGTGATTTTGCTTCTAAAAAAACAATATTTTTATCTTAAAAAAAGAAACGTGACAAAATTAGTTATATAACTAAATTAATGTTCACTTTTACGTAAATAAACATGCGTTCTTTTCTTTACCGTAAATAACTAAATATCAGATATTTTTGAATAGAAAAGAAAAAAGAAGGGGAAAAATAAGAGGAGGGGAAAGAAAAGAGGGGCCCAGTTGTAAAAAAAGAGAGAGAGAAAGATGTCACCCACGGGGCCTTCCTTTCAATTTAAAAGGCTTACCTTTTGCCATTTGCATCTGACCAGAACCAGAAGAGAAGAGACAGAACATAGATAAGAGAGAGAGAGAAAGAGATTTGTGCGGAGGAGGTTTTCTTCGTAGGGTTCATCGTTATTAACGTAAACTCTCCATCCTCCTACGTCAGCTCCAGGTCCCTTTCTTCTTCCATTTCTTCTCATTTTACGTTTTTTTAAAAAAAATTTCTGGTCTGTGTTTATATATATCTTCACTCTCTCTAATCTCTCTACCATTAGATCTGCCATTTTTATTGCATTCAACTATAGATCTTCTCTATGTTTCAATCTGACAAATCTCATTATGTTTTTTTTCTTTCATCTCACCATTAATATTGATTAGTGTTTATCGTCAAGAATATGAAATGTTGCAGCTTTCTATTTTTTTTTTAATTTAATTTTATTGCTTGGTTGGTGGAAACTGAAAAAAAAAATCACCTATTGTTGAAGCTTTGACTAATTCTGTATTGGTTTCTTGGTACTTTAATTACGTAATCAGTTAGATAATAATTTTCATTTGACTTCTGCTTAAAACTACTCATGCTCATACGGATTTTAAGGTAGGTAGGTACTTCAGGGTTTAGATGCTCTTTCATAGATTCACATATGCATACAGAAACTATTAATCACACGTGTACGTGATGGTGGTCTAGTTGCTAGCTTTGGATTGCTAATAACATGTTTATTGGAAGGTTCTTACAGTGAAGTTTTTAGTGAAATTAAGAAACTGTCTCTTAATTTTTAATCAAAAAAAAACTAAGAACCGGCTGTAAGAACTTTGCAATAAACATGTTCTAAGCAACCTAAATTCAAAAGTATCCCACTACACTTCATGTGGCCATGCGGATATTGACCCATTATTTACGGACATTTGAATACTTACAAAAAAATGAGTTTCACATCCTTTGGAAATTAGTTTAAGCCATTTCATAAACCTGGAATATCCCATATTAATATAAATAAAACTATCAACTCATGTTTTGCAGGATTTGTAAAAAAAAAATTGTCAATTAGGGATCAAAAGTCTTTAGCGTTGACTATTCCTGCCTCCATAACATTAACTTTCTTTGTTTTTTTTCTTGAAATTTCTCTACAGAAACATGGGTGCAGGTGGAAGAATGCAAGTCACACCTCCACCCAAAACCTCCGAAACCAAAACCCTCAAACGTGTCCCCTGCGAAACCCCACCATTCACACTCGGAGACCTCAAAAAAGCAATCCCACCACACTGTTTCAAACGCTCCATCCCTCGCTCTTTCTCCTACCTTCTCTACGACATCATCATAGTCTCCTCCCTCTACTACCTCTCCACCACTTACTTCCCTCTCCTCCCTCACCCTCTCTCCTACCTCTCCTGGCCTCTCTACTGGGTCTGCCAAGGCTGTGTCCTAACCGGCATCTGGGTCATAGCCCACGAATGTGGCCACCACGCCTTCAGTGACTACCAATGGCTTGACGACACCGTTGGTCTCATCTTCCACTCTTTCCTCCTCGTCCCTTACTTCTCCTGGAAGTACAGCCACCGCCGTCACCATTCCAACACTGGCTCCCTAGAGAGAGACGAAGTGTTTGTCCCCAAGAAGAAATCAGACATTAAATGGTACGGGAAATATCTCAATAACCCTCTTGGAAGGACAGTGATGTTAACTGTTCAGTTCACTCTCGGCTGGCCTTTGTACTTAGCCTTCAACGTATCAGGCAGACCTTACTATGAAGGCTTCCCTTGTCATTTCCACCCTAACGCTCCTATCTACAATGACCGTGAACGTCTCCAGATATACATCTCTGACGCTGGTGTCCTCTCCGTGTGTTACGGTCTTTACCGTTACGCTGCTTCGCGAGGAGTGGCTTCGATGATCTGCGTCTACGGAGTTCCGCTTTTGATAGTTAACGGTTTTCTTGTTTTGATCACTTACTTGCAGCACACGCACCCTTCTTTGCCTCATTATGATTCCTCAGAGTGGGATTGGTTGAGAGGAGCTTTGGCTACTGTTGATAGAGACTATGGATTCTTGAATACAGTGTTTCATAATATTACGGATACTCACGTGGCGCATCATTTGTTCTCGACGATGCCGCATTATAACGCGATGGAAGCTACCAAGGCGATTAAGCCGATACTTGGAGAGTATTATCAGTTTGATGGGACGCCGGTGGTTAAGGCCATGTGGAGGGAGGCGAAGGAGTGTATCTATGTGGAAGCTGATAGACAAGGTGAGAAGAAAGGTGTGTTTTGGTACAACAATAAGTTATGAGGATGATCATGGTGAAGTTGTCGACCTTTTATCTTGGTTGTCTTTGTTTAATTAGAAGATATGTTTTTTTGTTTCAATAATCTTATTGTTGTTGTGTTGTGACATTTTGGCTTAAAATTAATTATGTGATTTCGTTTTCACAAATGGGATGTGTCTGTATTGTTCTTTGGGATCATAGAAATGCAACAAGTGTACTCTTCAAAATGCAGAGGTCTTATGTTAAGTCTTGATTCTTGTATTCTACTTGCTTACACAAAAGAACGTGAAGTGGGGGAATCAAAGATCATATTGTGCTCTTCTACCTACACAACCTAATATTCTAAGTTATGGGGCCAGTGAAAAGCATCTTAAAAAAGAAAATTTCACCATCCGTCCATGTCTATATTATTCTTTGCTTACCTGCTTCTGCTTCATTGATGATCATTGTGAACTTATCTTATTCCACAGATGATATTGTCCATTAGATTATAATATATAGTACATATTTTAATCAAAGCACTACTTGTGGTATTCTTTATTTATTAACTCCAACGACATAAACGTATAAAAAACACCAAACAATTGTCCAAAAAGACACTTTTATTTGAACAAAATATGATTTTAATGTTATTGTTTAGTTGATTCAAATCAAGAGACGACCAATTAATATAAGGCATGAATCATCAAACCATTAACTCCTAACCTTTTTCTTATAAAAATTCTCAATTGATAAGAGAGAATCAAAAGCAAAAAGTAGAGTTTAACTATATAATAACTACAAAGTAAGATAAAGCTGATGAACAAGTAGAGAATCAGTTTAAAGAGAGGTATAGGGAAGACACTGTGAAGTCTCTGATCTCTTCTTGATAACAGTACTTACTATGTACAGATTCAGCAACACAGTGATTGGTGTCTTAAACCTCCTCAGCTTACTAGCTTCAATACCAATCATAGGAGCCGCTCTATGGAAGGCAAGAAGCAGCACAACTTGCGAGAACTTCCTCCAGACACCGCTTCTCGTGATAGGATTCATCATACTATTAGTCTCCCTTGCTGGTTTCATAGGCGCTTGTTTCAACGTGGCATGGGCTCTTTGGGTGTACTTAGTCGTCATGATCTTACTCATAGCGACTCTCATGGGTCTAACGCTCTTTGGTCTTGTGGTGACTAGCCAAGGAGGCGGTGTGGAAGTACCAGGGAGGGTTTATAAAGAGTATAGACTTGGAGATTATCATCCATGGTTGAGAGAGAGAGTTAGAGATCAAGAGTATTGGAACTCCATCAGAAGCTGTATCTTGACTTCAAAGACTTGTTCTAAGATTGAATCTTGGACTACACTTGATTATTTCCAAAGGGATATGACTTCTGTTCAGGTATCATCATCCTCTTCAATATCTTGTGTTAATATCTAAATTACCTTAAATATGTAAAAAAAATTAACATATTTAACTAATTTCGGATATTTTCATATTTTAATTCAGCTTCCGGTTGGGCTGTACCGAAACCTCGAGAATATCTAACTTTTAGACTCTATTCGAGTATTTTTGTATAACGGTTCAGATTTTTACAGTTTGGAATTTGGGTTTGGTTATAAACGCCCAGGCCTATACGTGCTATTCATTGCCTTGTGTCCTATGATATGAACTAGTTATTTTTATATAACAGTTTGGACCGGATTTTAGTTTTTTCGGTTTGGATTTTGGGTTTCGCTATAAACGACCAGGCCTATGTGCTATTCATTGCCATATTTCCTACGATATTTCCTAGCATCTTCATCAGTTTGTTAAGTAACATGTGTTTAACTGTAGTCGGGATGTTGTAAGCCACCGACAGCGTGCACGTACGAGACCGGAGTAATAGTAGGAGGAGAAGATTGCTACAAATGGAGCAACGGTATTGAAACGTTATGCTACGAATGTGATGCTTGTAAAGCTGGTGTTCTTGAAGAGATACGTCTTGACTGGAGAAAGTTATCGGTCGTCAACATTCTGGTCCTTGTTCTCCTCATTGCTGTGTACGCTGCTGGTTGCTGCGCATTCCACAACACTCGCCATGCAGCTCATCCTTATCATCCTTCTGACGATAACCGCATGACCAAAGTACGTCCTCGTTGGGACTATTACTGGTACGTATAGCTACATAACTGACTTATAGATGATCTCAAGAATGCAAGATTGGGTACAAAATTATATAAAAGTTAACTAATGTTTCTAGCAATTTTGTGTTCACAGGTGGAGATGGTGGCATGAAAAGAAAGAACAGCTTTACTGAGAGCCTCATCATAGTCTTTGTTTTCTTCTTCTTTTTATCATTTTTTTTTTTCTATTTACCAACTTGATATTAAGAAAACACAAAGATATGAAGTGTTGATGTACTTTTGTTTTCTAAACATACATGGAAGATGAATATTGACTATGAAATATGCTTTTCATATATGTAAAAACATCTTTGATGAACTCATACGAAATTGGTGTAAATATTAAAACCAGCAACTTGATTGTGAATCTACTTAATATATTGTATCCATGGTTGAGTTGCAAGGAAAGGTATAACCATGAGTGTTTGGTTTGATTTTGCTCATCACACTAATATTTAGTAAACATTGTTTACAACCAAGAAAAGTTGTGATGAGCAAAGACACACTAATCTTGATTCCAAGTGTTTACTTTCTTTTCATATGTACACATCTAAAGAAAAAAAATTATGTTTCAATTCCTATACTCTTTTTATGTTTCCGCCGTCTTTTGCCACGTAGCTGGTCAAGCTTTACTAACATCTCAGCATAGAGAATCTCGTTCCAAGAATCAGGCACTCCTGGGAGGCACCAGTGACTACAGTCTTGGTACAACAAGGGCGATTTGCTTTCTTCTGCTGATAGTTTCTGTTTTCTATAAATGGAAGGGTGAGCTTCCTTCCTGTAATCTGTTAACCTCGTGATGTTGAGATACGTGACCGGCGTTTTCATTCCTCTTAGTACTCTTTCAACTATCTTCATCTTGGAAGGGTATGGCGTTAGGTATGTCTCGTTCTTGATCGGTTCTGTTTCATCATCGCACGCCCCTCCTGCATTCCATTGCCCTCCACTGCAAAAACCAAACCAAACCAAACCAAAGCCATTTGTTTTTTTTAAAACGGAATCTTAAAACTACCATGCAAGGTCTATGTTTTTTACCTGAAATGTGTTGAGGAGAGTCCGCGGAAGAAGACAAGAGACTTCTTTGGATTCACGTTTTTATCAACCCATCGACTCCAAGTCGTCAATGCTTTCCTAAATACTTCATCAGCGTCGAGTTTCGGGTAAATATTGCTTCCTTCTTGATAATAATCCTCACTAATAAAAAGCATCCAAACACCGAAAAAAACAATGAAACAATCCATCAAAAAGGATCAAAGTAGCTGACAGAACTCTAACCCTTTGGAAGTTTTGTCATGAGTCCACCAATGTCCAGTATTGAACACGATCGAGTATATCTGCTCCTCTGTACAGTTCCGACGACTTTCCCAATATATCTAGACGCAAGGTTTCCTTCTTTGTCCTGTTTTTGTCCGTAACTTCTCATTTTTAACTAAGAAAGGTGACGCAAAGAACTCCACAGTGCAATTGTAATCCCACATAAATCAAGTTTCTAATAACAACTACGTAGTGAAACTGGCCTGCTGTTTATAACCGAATCGAGATTTTGGTTCGTTCGGTTGAATTCGATAGGTTATTAGAAAAAAATCGGCTTTTGGTTCGGTAATTGGTTAATTTGATTTTTCTTTCGGGTTTTCCCAAAAAATAGAAAAAAAAATTTGTTAACCAAAATGCGAACAGCACTAGTTGAATTAACCAAATTTTGAACCAAAGTAACTAACTAGCCAAAGTTACTCAAATTTAACATATTTTTAAACAGAAATATAATTGAAACTAAAATCTTAGACCATGATTATTGGGAGAGGATGGAGTTTTTAGAAGTTTCTTAAAAGGAGAGGCTCACAAATTTCTAAAAACCGGTTACAGAAGTCATCAAATAAGGAGAAGCTTAGATATATGAATATTGAGCCAAACGAAACCTCTAGAAATTTTTGTTGTTTTTGTTGAAACGTTTTTATTAAAGGAAGCGTCTAGAAAGTATCAATTTTAGGGTTCATTGGCTCCTCCAGTCCTACTCATGGTTCTCCTCTTCTATATTTGAGTTTTTTTTTTTTTGTTAACAGTTTAAAAAATATATGTTTTGTTAACTTATAATCTTCCCTTTTGTTCTAGTTGATGTTTTGAGTTTTACACATAAACTAGATTTTGAACCCGCACATCCGTGCGGGTAATTTTTCATTTTATAAAAATATAACAAAATCTTTCAGATATATCATTTACATTTTATTTTTATATTGTATAACTATAGAATCTTATTATTTTAATTATTTTATATAATATATTGTTGTCACTTTTAAAAAATATCAAATATATTTTTTAGATAATGTATTTGTTGTGAATTACAAAATATATGTCAACATTTTTTGTATAAAAATATTACATGATTTAAAAAAATTAATATGTTTTAACAGTGAATAAAAGAAAATTTTAAAATAAAATATTTTACTTTACCAATTTAATATATTTTATATTAATTTCACATAGCATTTTATTTTAATATAATATAGAAAATCATTAAATTATAAAATATACTAATTTTTATTTTTAATTAACATTAATATATATATATATATATATTAATCACGAAATTAAATAATATATATTTTATAAAAATATTTAACTTTCTTGGTAAGATCTTGTTAGATATTTTCTCAACAGATTTTGTTATAAATGAAATTAAAGATAACTTTATAGTTATATATTATTAAAATATTTCTTCAGTAATATATATT